AACTGAACACTGGTTAAAACCTTCAGCTGTTTTTAGAGTTTTTAAAATTGCCTTCATAGACTGTTTCATTACAGTGACATCTAGATTTGGAGTCAATCCATCTGGTTTTAAGTGGTAAGATTAATGTACAACCTTGAAAATTTATACCATTTCTCTGAGACTTAGTTGCATTGTACATTAAACAGAAGATAAAAACTGTGATGATTAATTTTAAAAATATTTGGAAAATAATTTGTTGCTAATTGGCACAGTAATTTATCAATAATGTATATTTGTACATTGTGTTTGTATCATCATTTCAATTCCCTCCAAATAAATAACTCTTACTTCATATCTAAGAATTTTCTACAGGGCTATGATATAAATTTATATGTGTATACAGATGAGGAGCATATGGTTCAATAAGATTAATTCTACTTAATATCTTAGATGATTACTTGAAAACAGAACTTGGGTTCAGTGTTAGCATGTGTGTTTTTAGGGTGCTGTGCATTGATCTGAGGAAGCAGCAGTCACCTGAGATTTATCTAGCTGACACTGGATGTCACCATTGTGCTGTGCAGTGTAGCTGCAGAACAGGTGTGTGGCTTAATATCAGAACAAAGTCATTCTCTCCAAGGGCTTGGCGATGTTAGCTTTCCTGCTGCATAACCTCCTTATCCAGTGGTACCTTTGTGATAACTAACATTTACAGTTTGTGATACATAATCTCTATCGAGTAATGATAAAGCACAAAGAAACTGTCTTACCATCATACGGGGTTCCTGGTTAGAAACTAGAATAATGGAAGAATGGGAGATAAATAATTTACTAAAAGGATGTGGAGTAGCTCCCAGCATTGATATGAAAGTTGTAAAACTAAGGTTAGAAAGTAGAAGTATTTTGTGTGCTAATTTAGCAAGATCAGGCCTCAGAAAGGGCAGTTGAGATCCTCCTGTCACTGTTCCTGCCCACCAGAGACCATCATCGACACTCCTGGCACTGGACACAAAAGCTCATCTGTCAGACTCCTTTCTTTCCTTGAATGATACCTGGATTTTTAGAGCCTCGGGCTTCATCAAGGCCGGAGAACTGTCCCAGTGTCACATTTCCAGGGGTGGCACTCAGCTGGCTAAATCTGAATTCCTAGCTGTCTGTGCTCCAGCTCCAGGGATTGAAGGCATGAGGTATCCTTCTGCAAGACTCATGCAGCAGTGATTCTGTATCTGGGAAAGAGATTCAGGGACTGGAAAGCCAACTGTGCCAAACATCTTCCATGGTACTCCTCACTCAGCACAGGAGGAAGTTGAGGCTGCTTGTCTGGCCTAGCCACGTAGCATCTGATAGCTTCACAGACTTTGGTGAACCCTGCCTGTTCTTCAGCCCTGGGGAGTCACACAACTAGGGCTAGACCTGCTTTATTGCAGCTAAGAAGGTTTTATAGGCAAACTGCAAGTCTCAACATGTTTCAGTCAATTTTTAAATAAAATCAAAGATGAACCCTGCAACATTAAAAGAAAAAGAAAAGACAATAGCAGGATGTATTGTTTACTATGCTGCTTTTGTGGCACTAATCTGAGCGATGCCCAGCCTCTGTTCTGTCTTTACTCCTTGCTGATGCCCTGTACTTTTAACTGCCATACGTCCTGTATCTGCTTTCATTCCATTCTTTCTCTTCCCCTCTCACCTTCTTGGATTGGCTCCCATCTTCAAGGAGCAGCTACCTTTATGCCATTCACGGCATTGCTACAAGTTCTCATACTTAAGTGTTTCCTTCATGTCAGTCTTCTCTGACTTGCCAGTCCCATGGAAGTGGGATCTCTGGCTCACTCCTGTAACCACGACACTTAACACAGCAGCAGTTAGTAAACACTTACTATAGGGAAGGATGAATCGAGGGTTAGGTAAAGAAAGGAAATGCCTTTGTTATAGTTTCTAGATTATGAACAGTGCCTGTGTTTAGGCTTCTGGGGCTGCCGTAAGCAAGTGCTTCAAGCCAAGTGGCTTAAACATAGAAAATTATCACCTTACAGTTCTGGGGCCTGGAGGTCTGAGATCAAGGTGTCCATAGGGCTGGTTCCCTCCAAAAGATATGAGGGCAAGTCAGTTCTGTGCTTGTCCTTGGCTTCTAATGGTTTGCTGGCAATGTTTGGTATTCCTTGAAACATTGCCCTGAGCTCACCTTCTGTTCACATAGCATTGTCCTTTAGTGTTCACCCTGCCTCCACACTGGAGTAAAGATTCTACTGAATGACCTTATCTTTCCTTACTAATTGCATCTACCATGCCTCTATTTCCAAGTGAGTTCATATTCTGAGGTACTAGCGTTTATGACTTTAACCTTTGAAGTTGGAAGGCGAACATAACTCATGTTATTGTATAATTCTTCAGCTACACACATGTCATAAAGCAGTGTAGTTGGTTTAGTTGCATTGTTCTGGATATCCAATGGTGTCCAGCACTATCACACAGTTTACAATTCCCAGTAATATGTGTGCATTGTTTTGTAGACTGCAAACTATTCATTAGATATTAGCCTCATCATTGGGAATGCTAACAAATTATTGATGAATTAATAATAAAAAATCAGTACCCTGGGTGTACTAGTCTTTAAATCCCCCAGAGCATATTTTTCTTTTATGGCCCAGCTCAGTCTGCAGACTATTTAAAATATTACCTGGTTTTTTCCTACAGGGAAGAAAACCACTCAGTCTGCTTGTCAGCCTTAATTACGGATAATGGTCTCATATTTTATTTACTTATTTGACAAACATGTGCAAAATCATTTATTATGTATTTGATGTGCTAAGTTCTTGACAAATATTAACTCACAAACAACCCCATGTTGACTATTATTGTTAATAATTCATATTTGCTAAATTTTAGTTAATGAAACTGAAGCTCAGAAAGGTTAAGGGACTTCTATCAAGTCAAGGCTGTGAAACTAGGTGGGCTGACTTTGTTTTAGCTGTTGAATGCTCTTTCTTCCGGGAAGTCTTTTTTTTTTTTTTTTTGTCTTTTTCCTTTTTATCAGTACCGGGGATCGAACTAACGACTGCCTGCTTTCTAGGCAGGCGCTTATGCCGCTGAGCTAAATCCCCAGCCCTCTTCCGGGAAGTCTTAAGGAAAACTTTAGGGTGTAACAGGACAAAGCAGAACAACTTTGCTGGAGTGAAGGGCACAGAGCCTGTCTGGCACCTCCTTCCTTCCTGGGATCCCTGTTTGTAAAGCTCCCACCTAGGAAATAACTCCTTTTGGCATGAGCCCATGTGTAAGCTGCCTTCAATCTATTCTAGCGTAAAACAAATAAAGTCTTTCCTGGCTTTAATTAACTGATTGTGTTTTATTTTGAAAATTTTATCTGCCTAATCTACTTCTGGCTGAAATAAAATGCTAACATGGATTTCCCCAGGATGGTAATGCCATATGGCAACTTGGGCTTTGCTGGCTTATATTCCTTTTGGGTTTCTTTATACAAATCAAGGACTATGGGCACAAAAATTTTTTGAACCATGGAGAGAAATGCAATTTGTTTTCTTATGGGTAGAATTGGATGTAAAAGTTTTCGTCTAGGTAGACATGACCTACTTACTACCTCTTACAGGTTGCTTTTCTTCTATGGTTGCTAAATGTAAATCAAAAAGTGTAATAATATTGATATTTACTACCTATTGAGCATCTTCTATAGCAGGGAATTAAGAAAAAGAACTGATTTTCAGAACTGTAGGCATTATCACTGATGTTTTACAGACATGTAACTTAAAGCTAACATTTTATGTAACTTCTTTAACCAGTAAATGGAAATGGAAGGATTTTTAAGAAAAAAAATTGAGAGCTTTTTTCTTTGGGATTAAGGATCAGAATGCTTGCTATTAAGAAAAGGCACAAAAAAGTTTATCTGAGGATACTGTATATGGCTTAAGGCTTAACATAACTATCAAATTATGAAAGTCTGAGAATACAGTAGGAACTTTTCTAAGGAGTAACTGCTGTGATAAAATGCTTCTTCAAATTTGTTAAGGTAAAAATGTGTAATACATGAAAAAGAAAAATCAAAGTAAATCAGTTAAATGAGATTGTAGATCAAGGAAGACTGAACTGAAAGAAAATCCATCCCAGGCTACATTGGTTGCATTCTTCACTTCTATTTTTTCACTGTCTTTTGTTCCTACTTCCTGCCTCTCCCTAGCCCAGATGTCAGCCAACTTCTCCTGGAAAGGATCCAACATTGCCATGTACGTTCTCTATTGTAGCTGCCCAGCTCTGCTGCTCGCAGGTCAATCAGCAAGGACTAAATGCACATAAATGCTGCAGGTTGTGTTAAAGAGTCATTTAGTGATACTAAATTGGAATTTAATATGATTTTAATTCATCATTGTTATGTTCTTTTGAATTTTTTGAACCATTCAAAAATGTAAGAACCGGGGCTGGGGATTTAGCTCAGCGGCATAAGCGCCTGCCTTGCAAACAGGCAGTCGTGAGTTCGATCCCAAGTACTGATAAAAAAAAAAAAAAAAAAAAAAAAATCCCACCAAAAATCTAAGAACCACTCCTAGCTCAAAGGTTATATAAGAGATGTGGTTTGCTTAACCCTACCCTTGGCCTGATCATTCTTCCCCTGGTTTCCCAGCACGTTGCTTGTCATCTGTCAGGTGTTTACTTTGCTCTGAGCATTTCAATGTTGTTTTGGACTGGGATCTTAATCCTTGAAAGAAACTTAAGAGGCGGGAGTGAGAGAAGTCCTGGTGCTCACATTCTGTGCAAGCCAACTTGCCAGATCACTTCAGCAGAAATAAACAGGAGCCATAACTACTGTCTAAGAGGATTTATAATAAAGCGAAGAATTCTTGGCATGCTCTGTCAATTTCATTGAAGATTAAGGGATAAATGCAGGACTTTGTGGTATCCCCAAAGGCTGTCTTATTTCAAAGATGCAGGCTGATGTGAAAATTCTTGTGTTGGTTTTTTTTTAACAGAATTGATCATTGTTAAATTTTAAATACCTTGTTGTTTCTTTCTAGGGCAGTCAACCTTCTTAGGATGGAAATACCCTGAATTTGGTGTCAAATAGACCAAAGTTTGAGTTTTACCACTATTTGTTTTCCTGTGATCATAGGTAAGTTAACATCACTATGGGATTCTTGGTTTCCTTATCAGTAAAATAGGTTTAAAAGTCTATTTCTCTCGGCTTCTTATTGTACTTGATTTTTTCGTTCTGTATTATTTATTATAGATATTTTAAACAAAACTGAAATAGAAATCATATCCATACCCAACTTGAACAATTACCTATGGTTTGCTTTCTTTATCTTTCTCTAAATCCCATTTTTCTTCCCTATTATTTTAAAGCAGCTTCAAATGTAATATATTTCACCTGTAATTTTTCAGTATGTATTACTAATAGTTAAGACCCTCTAAAAGAATGTTGTAATTACATTGTCATGTCTACCAAAATTACAATGATTCACAAGCTTTAGCTATTTTTCAGTCTCAAAAAACATCTTCACATAATTGGTTTGTTTAAGGCAGGATCCAAATAATATCCACGTGCTGCATTTGCTCATATGATTCTCAATTCTTAAGTTATGACAACTTTTAGCTTTGGTTGATGATCTTTGTTGTAAACCATAGGGTTTTTAAATTTTTATTTTGTCAATCCTTTTGAATTTATTACCAGGAATGCTATCGAAAACTTTCCAATGTCAGTTATTTGGCTACCATGAAATACAGTTCAGTTATGCTCTCTCCATTGAGTTTTTGCCTTACCAATTTCCAGAGGTGGCAAATGAGAATTTTTAATGGTGTTTTTTTTTTTTTCACCTGTCATCACAAAATCGGGGTTTTAGGACCTTTGATGTGTTTTAGTGCATCACAGCCATTCCTCTTCAGTCAACATTTTTGCTTACTGGTATGAGTTGTAGCTTAAACTTAACACTTTTTTTTGCCTTTGGCTTTAATCTTTTTAGGAAAATACAAGCCCTAGTTTCTTTTTAGGAAGATATAATCATAACCTGGCCACCAAGAATGTGAATTGCTACCATTTAGATGCTTTTCAAAAGACAGAAGCAAAATATGTGCTTTTTGTGGAAAATAAATCATTTTTGTATTAATAATTATAGGACAAATTATAAGAATTTTATGTAACATTTTTGGTTCTGTGTTTTATTATTTTTAGTTCTGCTAAAAATTTAAGAGTTTTAAGAACTTTATTTACTGATTTTGTTCTACTGTATGTACCTGCACATGTGAAACACACACACACACACACACACACACACACACACACACACCAGTAATTTCAAATTGGCAGTACCAATGTTTCCATTAATAGTATTATTGACAATATAGATTAAAATTGTCTTGCCATTCTTTTTGCTCATAGAATACTTTGCACATAGAGTTAGCTACTGGCCTTTATACTTTAAAGTCCTTGAAATAATTCATGTATTATGCCACCAGGTTTATACACACATTTGTTTCATTTTGGTTTATTTTGCTATAACTTCTTTTTAAAATGTTTTACAATTGTGTAAAATATGTATAGGGTTCTGTGTCAAACTATAAGACATATATTTTCTTCTCCCACTCATATTTCTTTTCTTCACAGAGAAAATGATACCATCTAGAAAAAACTTCATAAGAGTAGTTTATTTTATTTTTCTAACCTGAACCGTAAATCAATCCTAGTTTTGTGTGCATTTAATTGCAGATAGTTCTTTAGTACATAGCCTTTGCACAAACTTCCTTAATGTATGGCCTTATATCACCATTCTGGGCTACTAATAAAGATACACAAACAACAGATATTTATTTTAACCTAAAAATTGAACCCAGGGCCTTGTATATGCTAGGCAAACATTCTACCACGGGGCTCATTCCTGCCCCACAACCAAATTTTATGATAATTGTGTTGTTAGCTCCACAGACATTTCTTAAGCACTTACAACACAGAAAAAATATAAAGTTAATAAAACCTGGCCTGTGTGCTTGAATTTTTATAATGTAAGATGATGCTGAATAAAAGAGAAAAATTTTGTGTTTTTCTCCCTTGGATTATTACTAGTTTAAATTTACTTTTATTTTTACTTTAAGGGAAAAAACCCAATAAAAATAATGGTACAAAATTTTAAAATAAGATCATAGGAGAGTAGCAATGGCTACATTATGTATTGTTATCTTTAAATCAGTTACTCAGACTGCAAGATATCAGCATTTTTTTGTCCAAACAATATTAGCACAGACCTTTCCTTTCAATGAACTGAAAGAAGCCAGTAGTATAACTATCAGATGTGTGTCTATGTATATATATATATATATTTAACTTTTCTCTTCCTTCTTTTCTCCTTGCCCCCATCCCAGTTTCTCTTTCCTTTTGAGCAGTTTGCTTCCACTTCACAATATCTATCATACATTCTGATTCCTATTTACTTTTTAAGCTTCTTACACTAGGGAGACAATATGATGTTTACGCATAGAAGTCTGATTTATTTCATTTATCAGTATGATTTCAAGTTGCAGCCATTTCCCTCTAAAATTCTCAAGTTTATCTTTCTTTATAGCCAAGTAGTACTCCATTGAATAAAAATACATCAGTTTTATATATTCCTCAGTTAATGGGCATTTGAGCTGTTTCCAACATTTAGCTATTACAAATTGTGCTGTTATCAATATGGGTGCACATATGTCACTGTGGTATGATGTTTTTAATTCTTCTGGGAAAATACTCAGAAGTAGACTAGCTGGGTCAAATGGATCTCTTAGATTATTTAATGTTTAATCTTTTAATCATGATTGTTTCAATGATATTGTTTCATGGAAAATGGATTTCTGTATTTATGAGTATGTACAGATGCCAATGATAATTTTGATTATTCTTAAGTTTATGAACCCTGCAATTATGTAATAAAAAATGTTGGTTTTGCTTAGCAGATTTATTTCTTCTATAGCCAGAATTCACAATGACAACAGTAACAGTGACCACAGAAGTTCCCCCAACGGGTAAGAGGGAAGATAATTCTGCCTTGTATGAGTCTACAGCGGCTCACATTATTGAAGAAACTGAATACGTAAGAAAGGTATTGTGGATGCCAGGAGTTGTTTACATTGTATGTATTTTCAGGATAAATTGTAATACGGATTGGTGGGCTTTGTTTTCCACTCACTGAAACATACAAAAAGTAAAAAAAAAAAAAAAAAAAAAAAAAATCTAGTTTAGCAAAGGACAGTCAAGATAGCTGAAATTAGAAATTTCTCTTGATGTGAACTGGATCCCACACTTAGAGTAAAATGATTTTCTTCACTCAGTAAAATTGAACAATGAGCCAGAAGGGTTCCAAACACCTATCAGCACTTAATTTGCCCCACACTACTCACTGCTGGATTTCCTACTGTTTTATGACCTTTCACAGTGGTTTCATGAGTGCTGATCTGTGTTCCCAAGTAGATGTTTATGTTTCCTGCTGAGTTTCTCCCTCCTTACCTTGTTCCTTTTCACATTTGGGGGTAAGTGCTGCCAGTGCCTGTATGTTGGCGTGTTACTTCATTAAAAAGTGAAGTATTATGAGAAGCTAAGATGGCGAGGACTAACAAAAGGAGATAACCATGTTAACTGATTCTTAGAGCAGATGGATGAATTCTGACTCTGATAGCTCATAACTTGTTCACAATTATATTATACTGTCTCACAATTCCACAGGTCATCAAGACATGTGGCTTATATTTAATGCATAAATTTTTATGATCTCCTTTTAGCAATTATTCTGTAGTAATTACTTAATAGCAATTATTATATAGTAATTATTAAGTAATGATTATTTTGTAGTAATTACTTCATAGAATTTTGTAGTGACTACTAACCAGTAATTGTTTTATAGTAATTAATTAACAGTGAATTAGTACTAAATTACTATATATATCAAACAGAACTAAATATATAGTACTAAATGCTAATTTCTATATAAAGATTATTTTATAGTGTAATACCAATTCATCAACTTTAGGTTTGTCTATGAAAGAAATATAAAGACCAAATTTTTTTCAACAATCAAAACAGTATCAACCTAAGTGCAATTTGGATTGATGACAGTTTTTAAAATCTGACACCAGTATATATATATATTTCTTTCTAGATAAATCAGGTGTAGTAGCTGATACAGAGAAAAAAAAAGGAGTTGACATTGAGTTCCTTTGCAAAAGATAATTTTTTTTTCTCCTAGATTCGAACTACTCTGGAAAAAATCAGAAATCAAATGTTTAAAGATGAAGTAGTACAGACCAGCACAAATCACAAACTAGATGCAAAGGTAATTGATCAAAAATTTCTGCCTATATTCTTTCAGAAAATTAGCAAAAGGCCGTATAGACTTTATTTAGCTGCTTTTATGCTAATTATTAGTCTTTGAACAATAAGTGATAAAATATTTCTTGCATCTCTAAAGATGTTAATGGCCATATGTGTGGAGTGTTTAACCACAGATGTTAATAATGAGGATCATATTGGCATGAATGGACTTTGCTTGAATATTTCAAAGAGAATTACTTACCTAAAGTATGTGTTATGATGTTGGCTGGCTCAGATACATGGAAGCAATGTTTGCCAATGACAGACAAAGGAATAAGCTTTGGGGCTTACCTGGGCTACACTGAGCTATGACCGAAATGCTTAGCCTTGCATTGAATGAGGACTTCGTCAGACAGTACATTTAAATACACTCTCCCTACCTCAGTTGAAGATCACTCTTATCTACTTAAGTTTGAACAGTCTGCACTGCCCTAGCTCTAACCTTATCTAGATTGGGCCAGGTTATGCCCCATCTGAATCAAATATGCCTCCTCAGTGGAACCCACTGTGGGACGTGGATGTGATACAGAAACCCAAACACAGGTTGTGATGTAGAACATAATCCCTTTGTCCTCCCAGGCCTCTAAGCTGACACAGCTGGGCTTAAGTATTTCCTTAAATCAAGTGCTGTGAAACCAGGGAAGAAAAGTTGTATTTGGGAATTATAGGGAAGATCAAATAGTAAGATTTGAGTGCCCTGAGTTGTATGTCAGGCTGCTGGACACATGGTCCTGGAATTAAGGTTAGTGGTTAGGGCTGAAAGGTCCAGGCTCCAGGGTAGAGATCTGGAGCACTATGGCTGGTGTTCAGTTTTGAAAGTAAAGAAGATACACATGTAGGTAGAAATCATCTGAGGACTGAGTCTTGAGCTTCCCAATGTTTGTCTTGGGAAAAAGAACCATCACAGGAGGCTGAGAAAAGAAGCTAGCAAATTAGGAGGGAAAGAATGAGAAAATGGAGTCACTGAGGGCAAGTGAGGAAAGGTTTTCACGATGGTAGAGGAGTCACTGTGTCAAATGTTGCCTATGTGTCATATATATTGAGGACTGACCACTGACCACTGACCACTAAGAATTCTAAAGTGAAGTTGTTGTGGCCTTGGTAGGAGTAGCTTGTTAGGAATGAAGGTGACAATTGTGCTGTCATATCAAACAGAAAATCATCAGACAAAACAAACATCAAAATGTTAGCTCTCCAGCCCTGCAGGAATTTTGTTGTAATGGTCCAAGGCCCTGCACCTCAAAATATGAGCTGCTGTCACAGCAGCATCAGCGGCATTCCCAGGAGCTTATTAGATTTGTAGCCTCCAGGGTTCCATCCTAGACCTACTGATTCAGAATCTGCATTTTTAACCTCATCCATCACCAATGATGCTTATGGACATTAAAGTCTAAGAAGCACTGATCTATGTATTTTGTAATTTCTACCACTGCCAATAATCTACTATCTAAGAAAGTCTTTCCATCAAATATTCTTTTACACATGAAAAAAGAAAGTAACTTCTAATCTGTATGTGGAAGATGCACTAGGCTCAGAGCCATAAATCCAAAATTGTGTCTGAGTTGTGGGGAGGGAGGATATTATCTATCTGCCCTATATTCTTTTTGTCATTGGTTGTAGTGAAAAGAACAAAGGCTTCACTTTTAAACAAACTTGGATTTAGTTTTGGTGTGGTGGTTATTTTACATATGATCTTGGGTTTGTTAAATTCTCATTTTTCAATTTCCCACCTCTAAAGGCAGATTATCTTTTAGTATTTTGTGTTTTTAGACAAAGGAGTAAATATAAAATTTCATTGAAAACATGACCTGCCATATAATAGGTCCTTAACATATAGAAACTATTATTATAATTTTAGGATATGTGTAATTGCATCATAATTTTTCTGTCTGCCTTACAATAAATTGAAAGAACAGTAAAAGCACAGGCTGTGCCATGAACTCACACATTTACTTGTTACATAACTCAGGTTCTGGTTGGTTTCTGTATCTGTAAAGTTGATGGGCTAAGTTAGATTTTTTTATATATCCTTCATACCTCCATACGTCCATGATTTCAGACTAGATTTACCGTCCAAGTGGATTTTCAGTGAGCCTGAGTTTATGTAGAATTATAATGGCAATGACACTCCATTCTGATATCTCTGATTGGAAATTTAATGTGATGTAATTATACTATGCATCCCTGAACATTGAATATTATGTATTACAGCTATTATGGCTGATTTGATTAGTTTCTGTTACAATGTAACCAAAATGCACTTACGTCTATCACTTAGAAATCTGGTATCATGAATATGATTTATCTCCAAAGATATGCTTAGTATATTTGAAACTCTAGGGAATATAAAAGGTATAAAATATGAGGTTCTACCTCTTTGAACACACAGATTTGTTCATATTTGAACAGATATAGAAGCCAGATGCTTCATATGAGATTCCTCATTGATATTTTTGAGATTCAAAAGATATTTGTGCTGGTTTGAGCCATGATTGATAGATGTAGTACTAAATGATAATTATCTTCAAAATCTGTGGAGGAGAGGAGTATTCAGCTCTGTGCTTTTCACCTTTTTCCATTTCAGCACTGTGGAAATGTTCAGAATGGCTCTGATCCTGAAATGGACCCCTCTTGCTGCAGTTTGAATTTGCTCATGGAAAAAATGAGAGGAAAAGACTTACAGCTGTTAGAAATGAACAAAGAGAATGAAATGTTGAAAATCAAGGTATGACTGTTAGCAGAACTTTGAAATTTCATATTTTGAATGTTTGAGCTAACAACTAGGTTGTTAGAATGCATGATTTATGACTTCAGTGAGACAGCCACACACATACATGTGCCTACAAATGGTGTACATTCCTTATATTTCAAAAATTAAGTCTCAGTGTTGGACCTTAGAAAGTACTTTTATCATTAAAAAAATCCTACAAAAGTTCAGTGGGTATAAGGTTTCAGTTATGCAAGATGAGTACATTCTAGACATCTGCTCTGTGACGTGATACTGTACTTAATAACACTGTACTATAGACTTTAAATTTGTTAAGAGGGGAAAATCTTATGCTAACTTTTCTTTACCAGAATATATTTTAAAAATACATTTCTATATTGAATAGATATTAAAAATAGCCTGCATAGTAAACATCTCATTATTTATTTAATTTATCTATTGTTGAATGCTTTGTATTTTCCTTTTGGAGCTTATTTTATATGCAGTAATAACTATCTGGGAAGGCAAATCTTTGTGGCTCTCCTGGAGAGTTTCCTCAGGTTAACTCCTGGGAAAGACTTTGGAGCCACTCTTAGAAATGAACAAAGAGAATGAAATGTTGAAAATCAAGCTATGACTGTTAGGAGAACTTTCAGATTTCATATTTTGAGTGAAAATATCTTCAAGAAAATTGAAAATTCACTTTGAAAATTCATTTGAATTTTTTTTTAACCCTTAATACTCTTAAATTTGTTCTGCTTCTATTTGTGGAAGCTTTCACTGTTAGTACTGTTTGGGACCTCAGTGATCAAAGGCTTTAAGTACATGAGTCAATGGGGCACTGTGGGGGCCTCCAAAAGGTTGAGATCTATCCATGCAGGTGTCTAAGCCCACAGAACCCTGATCTGGCAAATCTGCCTGTGTGCACTGCCCAATAATAGAGAGTTTCTTATTTTATATTTTCCTTTTATCAGACTACAGTGTCTTTGTCTTGAGGATATACATGGTTCTATTATAGACTCTTTTTAATTGCTTAGTACAGTGTTCTGCCTTTAACCATTTTTATTGAAAATATGCAACATGCAAAGTGACTGTTTTCTCTAGCTGGAAGCCTCCAGAGAAGCAGGAGCAGCAGTTCTGAGAAATGTGGCCCAGAGATTATTTGAAAACTACCGAATGCAATCCGAAGACATCAAGAGAAAGCATGAGGAGAGTGCACACTTACTGCAGGTACCGGCCAGCAGCTAGTCCACTGGGCAACCAGCCCTGCCCAGGCCCCGCCAGTCCCCCTTTCGAGAGAACTTAGCAGTGAAACAAGCCATGGCCAAGTGATTTGGCAGGCTCAGGGAGGAAACCATGCTTTTATATCACTTCCTTATTACAAAGGAAGCACTTTTAAACTAAATATTTAGGATTTAATTTTTTGTTATAGATAATTTTTGGTGAGCAAGAGTAGAATGTTTTGCTTCTCTTAATTAGTATCTGCCTTTTCATACCATTTCAGGAAACATATTTTATTCTTTGTAAATATTTTAGAAATAATATTTATATGTTATTTTCTATTGTGACTCACCAGTTACAGTCAACAGTGAACAGGTCTGAATTAGTCTTTTTTTGTTATTGGTTAGTTAGAAAATTCTGATACTGAAAGAGAGAAGCTGTATATGACTTAATGAAAGCAAAAGTATAGCAAATGTTTTTTCTGACCAAGGTTAACAGGCTTGAAAAAGAAGAGAAATTGAAACAACATGTTGAAGATCTCAAGCAAGTTGCTGAAAAACTTGAAGAAAAACACAGTCGAATCACAGAGTTGGAGAATCTTGTACAGAGAATGGAAAAGGTATGCACCTGTATTGCTTACAGGATTAGATCCATAACAAAAGAAAATAACACTGAAATGAGTGGGATATTAAATAAGATTACGTGAAGTGATTGTATTCCTTATGATTCTGATCTTTGGAAATGCTTAATACTGTGTTTTTTCCTTTAAGTATTTGACGTGGTCTGTACTAGAGTTACTGTTGTTATTTCTGCAAGTACTTTAGTCATATTATTTCTGTCACTTTCTAATAAATTGTATCTTAGAAAGGGGAACCAGGTGATTCTGTGGATGGAGATAATGGAAAGATCACAAAGTCCACTGGTTTGGAGTTAACAGTAGAGTAGATTCCTATAATCACAATATTTTTATGTATTGGAATCAGTGAAAAATCAGTTTTTATTCACTCAGTACCATATTTGATTTCAAAAACCAGGTGGATATATTAAGACAGAGATAGTTCACATTAAAAGCAACCATTCTAGCTGGAGATGATGGCACGAACTGGTAACCCCAGAGCTCTAGGAAGCAGAGCAGGAGTACTCTAAGTTTAGGCTCAGCTCAAACCACGGAGGGACTTCGTGAAACATTGTCTCAAAGTAAAATATAAGACCAGTGATAGGGATATAACTCATTGCAAAGACCCTGGATTCAATGTCCAGTATAAAAGCAAACAAACAGACATAATAAACTGCCATTCTGTGGATACTGAAACTTTCAAAGGATATATTTATGGAAGAATAATAATAGAAGAAAAATTTTAAAGATTTCACGTAGTATTTCTTTAAGGCCCTTCCAGTACATAAAAAAGATAAAGACAATTTTACTTATGTATGCTTTTAAATTTAGGATTTAGACAAAATCAGGAATATTTTCTTTTGATAGCAAAACAAACAGGAAATTGAAATCTCTGGAAGTAGGTCAATAGATCTTTTGGCTCTAGGAAATTTTGCCTGATTAATTTCAATAGTTATTATTTTAATTCCTAGATTTACCCCTTCTCTTTTTAGCTCTAATTTGTTTTATGAGCCTGCGTGGGTTATGTCATTGTGGAAATGTCACTTCAAAAGCATCATAACTTCAAAATTATTCAATTTTCTTACCGAAACAAACAACAAAAAACCTTGGAAAAGTTTAAAAAGATTTCCTAAGAATGTAAAATTTTATAATATTGTGAATTTATTTGAATTTGTAATGTTAAAGAACAACGTATGTGAAAGTCATAAAACTTAAGCCCAGATTTAACAGAATCTAATAATAATAGCATGCAGCAATGTCTCTTTAAATGTGATAGGTCACTGGTTATTGCTATTTAGCAGATTCACTAGACTAATGTCACCTATCAGTGTCAGAAAATTAACAAAAGACCACTGAAAGATAACTTGTATTTCCTAGAGACACTAGGGATTCCCATTAGATACAAATTCACCTCAAAACCCTGGGGCATTTTTGTCTGACTGTTTATTCATTGCCTTTGAGCACCTACCGTTTACTGCACAGAGCTGGGGCCTGAGTATTTATTTGTGAATGTCCTGTACACAGTTACTATTGGTAGAAATTATAATGCATAAAATTGGATTGTATGGGACCTATGAATTCCCCAGGTCTTGTGTTTTAAATTCTCCTAAGGTTGGGTGTGGTTGGCTCACTCCTGTTATCCTAGCACTTAGGAGGCTGAGGCAGAAGGATTGTGTGAGTTTGAGGGCAGTCTGGTCTACCTTAATGAGTCCAAATCCAGCCTGAACTACATAGCAAGACCCTACCTCAAAAAACAAACAAACAAACATACCCAAAAATAAAAATAAAATAAATAAAATTAAAAATAAAAATAAAAACCAAATTCTCTTAAGGTTTTTTTTTTTATTTTGGAAAAGGCTGAAAACCTTGTCAAATGTAGGGGGACAAACCCCAAAAAAGGATTCAGTGGCTCAGATCCTGGCAGTCTCCCTTCTTTTCTTTCTCCCTTCTCTTTTTTCTCTTTTCTTTTCGTTTTTGTTCTTTTCCAGTACCAGGAGTTGAAATAAAGCCTTTTGTGAGGCAGACAAGTGTTTCAAACTGAGCTACATACGTCCCCCATCCTTTAAAAAATTTTTTCTTTTGACACAGTCTTGCCAAGTTTCCTCAAACTTGTTGCCTCCCGCCTCAGCATCTCCAGTGCTGAGATGACACTGTGCACTATGACAGCCAGCAGTTCAAGATATTTTGAGGAAGTGATGGCTTAGCCCTTTCCTTGATACTGACCAATAACTGTGGGCTATCTTAGGACCTTTTTTGACAGAATAGGTGAGCAGAATAGGTGCCTCTGGCTCAGCACAACCGTGCAGCAATTTTCCTGAGTGCTGTACTTCAGTTACTATCAGAGTGAAGCCTCTCTGAGTCTCTGGAAGGTTGAGGTGAACGGAGGTGGAGTAGAAGGATAATGTGAATGCATGTTTCCTTTTAGATGTACTTAAATATATTTTATGTTTGCAAAATGAACAAATAAATTAGACTAGAAGGAGCAAAACCTTCTGACATCTTCCTGGTTTATGGAGGTAATGAAGAGATGGATTATGAGAGAGTTTCTTTGGGTGAGTGGTGCACATCAGGAGGACATGGAGCCCTTTGTATTGATAAGAAAATGATACAATTTCAAAGAGGAAGTAAGAGTGAAAAATGCACATCTTTGGGAAAGTTGATAAGTACTCTCCTGGTGTGGATGTCCCCTGGAGCAGGGTTCATTTGCTGCTCACTTGAACAAGGCCCTGCTCCAGGAAATAGCCATTAGTGCTGTGAGGTCTGGTAATGAACACATTATTTAAAACCTCCACCATCTGCCCTGCTTTAATCAGGAATGCAGTGAGAATGGATTCCGCATACACAGTACAAGCTAGAAAAACACCCAATAAGAGCATTTGATTGTGACATATGTTCCTTTTGCTAGCAGTGCAATTTTGTTGCATCATATTAGTTTTCCAGTGTCATTGATTAAGCTCCATTAGAATTTTAGAACTCAAAGGCTCTTTTGAGACCATCTAATTCCTCGTCATCATTTTATAAATGAGAATAGCACGAACCAGAAATATTCAATAATCCTTCAGTTTCTAGTTCATGGCTCTTTCCATTCTGCTTTTTTTTTTTCTGGATAAAAATGATACTAACTCCTTTAGATGTTAACATGAAAGATGTGAAATCTTGTGAATTGTGAAAGATATGAACTGATACCCACTCTACTTGATCAACAGAGTGAGGGATCTCACAGATTTGAGATCACTGGGCTGCTCACCGGGTAATATGATGACCTTATCCAGGGCCAGATGTGTGCTAGCTGGGAAAGTGTGATTTTCTATGTTTGTCCGAGAGATGCCAAGAGGCACCGATGCTAGAACACTGCCCAGCACAGAAGAGTTAGTTTCTTATGTGATGATCTCAACCTGAACTCTGGCTATAAAAATTCATTAATCGAGATTAAGTCCATTATGAAGAGCACTTTTTAGACATCATTTCTCCAACCCTTTAAATTCAAAATATATTAGCTATGATGTGTTTCTTTGAAAATCCAAGCATCATTATAAGCTTGCAAGATGTACCTGTGATGCCTCAGAATTAATTTGAACATGAGTAGGACTATGCTGTCAGAATTTCTATGGGACAAAAATTTCATAAGAAATATTTGATGAAGTTATTGTAATTTAAAAAATTCAAAACATAGAGCATGTAAAGTACTTGGTAGCTTCAAATTAATATATGTTGAGGTAAAACTATATGTCCAGGAAATATATAGGTTTCTCATACATATTACCTCCAGTTATCTTAAGATTTTGAGATAGATAATATTACCTTCATTTTAGGCACATTCATGAAGTTAAAACCATGACTCATAAGCATAGAGTACATTTTAAATATGTTATTCAACTCATCAAGTCATGGAGGAACTTAGTAAGATGTAAAATCTGGTTAAAATATAGTATTTTGAGCAATTGGTTATTCATAAACATGTTGGGAAGAGATATAAAATAGGGAGAGTAGTTTAGATTAAAAATATGTTAATATTCTTTAAGGCATTTGAACCATAACCTTTGAAATTATCTTTTCTACCAAATAGATTCTACATATTAATGTGTAACATTAGCAAGTGAGGGCTTTAATAAAAAATAAGTGCTAAGGTAAAACCCAAGAAAAATTTCCTGAAAGAGCTAATTATTGGTGTAGATTATTGTCAATGGCCCAAAGTGACATTATACATATTGCTTGTATTTCTAAATTTCAGTTAATTTTTAAAAAAAAAAATAAGGCCAAGAAAGACTAAAACCTTAGCCAAAAGTTCAAAACCAGATTATTGTAAAATCTGATGTTTTTGCTACAAAGCACTGTTTCGTGTATTACCCATATAAATACTGCACCAGGAAATTATTTTAATGCAGCATTGTAGATACTTTCAAAACACCTCTTCCAATTTGTTCCATTTATATAGCTAACACTAATTCCTACTTTTTTAAGTGTCTTAATAATTTTCCCCAAATTGTTAACTTAAATCTGAAAAACCATTCAGTCTAGACTTCAAATTCATTATTTTCCTCCCATGTTGCCATCAAATATACAATGAACGCAATCGTCTCAGCTTGTTTCTTCAGGGATTTGTTTATTTCCTTTGATATGAAAGGTAGTTTAATAATTTAATTATGGAATCTTAAAAGATCTTTTTTCTCAGTGTCATAATTTCTCCTGGATCCTAATCAGGAAGTAACTTTATCATCTGTGGCCTTGATCCTTCATTAAAAATACATTTACTGCTTTACTGCATTCTGACAGATGCTTTGAGAGCAGGTAGAGGTATCAAGATATGGGCAGTGGTGTCCTTGGATACCAACAAGTCAGCCTAAAACACAAGAGACAAGAGCAGTGAGAGGAAAGCCCAGGGATAAGAGGACTGAACAGCTGTACATCTGGGGTAGGATTAAGAAGGTGTATAGGAGATTTCGAGCTGCATAGACTATTTTGGCAGTGGACTGAAGGAAGAACAAGCTGTCTGAGCAGGGGAAGAGAAAACACAAATACATTGGACTCATTCTTAACTTGCTTATAAAGCCAGCAGCAGAATGCCTGATCAGATTTCCTTGGTGTGCATTTTAAAACTCATGAAATTATCTCTTTATTTCTAACTCTGTGAGAAGTATCTTTTGAGAACATTTTGTAAGATTACTTCTTCACCAAACACATGCAAAATTAAGCAAAAATTGTGTCTGATTTAATCCTAGGAAAAGAAAACACTGCTAGAAAGAAAACTGTCATTGGAAAACAAGCTGTTGCAACTCGAATCCAATGCTCCATGTGATGAAAGGTTTGCAAATCTACCTTCTAAAGTAAAGCAGTGCCTGATATTTTGCTCTCCACTAGCACACTGGCCAAGGTTCAAGGAAGCAGGGCAGGAGGGAGGATGAATTCCTAAGATGAACAGCCACCTGGCTTCCTTTCCTCACTCTTTTCCACTGAGAAGTCAAAGGCACAGAATTCACTGTGGGTTCCAGGGACCCAGTGGAAGGGGTAATCATTTTCATAATGATTAAGCTTGAGGCCCCTGTTTACTCGTGTTCCCAGATGCTGGAGACATCTTCATCTGCTCATGCACCTGTCTTTGCTGTGGGGTCTCTTCTACAGTCCACATCAAGCCGGCTCACCCATGAGTGAAATTCTAAGATAGTTCCACTGTTCTCCCCAACTTGGTAAAGAATGATGTAAATATTATGGAAAATATTATTAGGGCATTACTCATATCACAAGACACGTCCTAGGATTTTCCTTTTCTTTTCCCTTTTGATTCTAAGCCCACCACAGTAAGCATATGCTCTGTTGAGAAAATATTACATTCAAAGTCAACTCCATTTCAGCAGCATAAGACATCCATCTGGAATATATTTTCACCAGGTATTCAGGCTCTATTAGTAGTGTCGCAGAGCCAAATCCATATTGTCTTTTATTTAGAAATATGTGTAAAGCATCTTTATTATTTTTTTAACTTCCACCCCAATTTTCCTTTCCTTTCTTATTGTCTGTCTCTTCTCATTCATCTCTCCTGTTATGTTGTGCTTTCTATCCAGTTCGTATTCATGCATGTTTGATCACAGATGCCAAAATCCAGAAATGGGCCAAATGTGGCACTTTGATGCACATATTTGAAACATGCTGAGACACCTATGAGTTACTAATTTTCTTGTATCTTTTTCCCTTTGAATATACTCATAGCCTTAAAAGGTAGAATTCTACTACAGTTATTTGGTATTGTGAATCTTGGTAGAGCTTGATGGGAATACTACAACGATTGTTCTTAGATCATGGAACTACTTACACATACATATAACTTAATTTTAAGTACACTGTTGGCTTAGCTTTTTCATCCTTAAATACAGAGACCTTTTTTGATGTGACAGAACTACTGGCTTTTACAATGTACTTTTCATTAAGAATCTAGGCAGTGTAACTTTTGATGTTTTTCTCTAAAAAAAAATTTGTTTTTTCCCAATAAAAGGACTTTGTGGCAGTCTTTGAGCTAACAGTACAAAACATTACAAAACCTCAACTGATCTATCCTTTGAGTTATGTTGTATACGAGTAATTTTCATAAGGAATTCTTAAAACACTCTTAAGGGGGCTTTAGAAATTTTTTGAGGAAAGTGGGTGTTTTATATTTCTTGAAAGGCATTTGAACATCCATGCTTATGCAATTTTCATAGATGGTAGGCATTATGAATATTTATCTTTCTTTTCTGAGCTTGTGTAGAAGCATTCACTTTACTATATGACAACAAAGTGAAACCTTTGTGAATCAGCCTCTTTTGGGTAAATAAATAGAGGCTTGATTAAGCTACAGCAAATAAAGAAGATTTCTCTTAGGTTGAGATTAGACAGGTATGATCACAAAGAAAAAGTAGAAAATTTAAAAATTTACAGTTTTAAAACACAGTTGACTGTGTTTCTATTACCACTACTACCTGGCACATGGATAGTGCTTTGTAGTTTACAGACTGACTCCACTGATTCTTGCACCGATCTTTTAAGGAGGGAACTGAGCTTCTGAATGACTAAGAGACTTACCAAGAAGGCACTTTACCTCTCAGAAGTTGTATGGCTAGGAGTTCGCCTCTAGTCTTCTCATACATAGAGAATCCTGCCCTTTCTGCCATGGAGGACTTCAACCTCCTTTCTTGCATTTCTGGAGACTTTGGAAGGCCTCTCAGATAGGTATCCTCACTCTTATGTGACAGGAAGAAAGCAGTTTTCAACTTGTCTCTCTTCCCTGCTACCTTATACACACTCACAGTCCTATTTTAGATTTAAGCTTTGGGGAAGACACATTTGGGAGTTGTAAAAATAAACAATGTTGGTTCCTCCATTTAGTTGGGAATTGCTCAGGTATGGCAAATTCCTCAGAAAATGAAAGACTTTTGTCTTGAAGCCTAGGTTTTACCTCAAAGCACATTATTTTTAAATCATGCCTTAACTGTGGTGGCTTGAGGACTTTCCTGCTACTCTTGGAGCAATCACTGCAAGTAACAATGGAAAGGATTTTGATGGACAATAAAGATATATGCCTGTCTTGGTTACTTTTCTCTCATTGCTGAGACAAAATACCTGACACCCAAAGTTAAGGAAAGAAAGGTTTATTTAGCTCACAGTTTGTGGAAGTTTCAGTCCATAATCAGCTGGCTCCAAGGCAGAGTGGAACATGGCAGAAGGTGACAGTTCATGGTGGCAGAAAACAGCAAAAGCCACAAGAACAAAAAGGGAGGAGCATGGAAAGAAGATTCTCTCTGTCCCCCCTTGAGTGTAGCCACAATCCCAGCGTTGAACTATGAGTCATTCACAAACTCTAGAAGCCTGCTCCCGTGACTGAATGAGGCTTTGGGGGAACATCCAGACTCAAACCATAACAATGCCTGAGTTTTGTTGAAATGTGAATGGAATTATGTTGTTTCTTAAATCTTGTTTTGGCTGGAGGATGGCAGAATCTTGAGTTTTCTCTATTATCAAGGTTGTGATTCTTTAGAAACTCACACTCAGCGATTTCCATAATCACCAGAAGTCCAAAGAAACATGACATCCAAGATGCAGGCAATTTTTGAGTCCCTATAGATTAATAATAGTGTGTTTTTTCATAGCTTTAAAGAAGCACAAACTTGCTATCCTCTCTCTCAAATTGGAAATCTATTTAGGGTTATTCACATTTCTAATGCCTGGGTATGCCCTGGGCGGGCACCTGGGCATGCCCAGGTGCAACATTTGGGGCATGCAAGTTTCAGTTGCCACTTTTAATCCCTTTTTATTTTATCTCAGTGCCAAGCTCTTTTTATTTTTTTGAAAGTTTTATTCCTGTAAGTGCATTAATCCCTGTAATAAGGATATTTTATAAAGACATTTCAAAGTTGTTTCTTGTGTTTTTATAAATATGGCAAGGCTTACAGTATTTAAGAATTCATAAGTAATATATCATGTATCCTAGATTCAAAGATAATTTAAGGCCATTCATGAAAACTACATAAACTTAAATAGGAAATAAAATGGATTATGAAGCCATAACAAGCATTTCTGCATACCATGGGATGCTACAGATGTATTCCCAGTAGATCACTAAATTTTGAATTTTCTAATAATAATTCCAAAAAGGAAGTTAGGATTACTTTGTGATTGACTATGCCTGCATGACTAAAACCAACTGGTTCTTTGGGAGGAGTTCAGTGCTTTCTAATATATTCATGTGACCAGAAATAACATTGCTCAGAATAAGTTCATAAAGCAAATGTTGAGAATGCCTATAACTGAATCATAATAGGCACAAAGTTTGTACAACAGAACACCTTCTAAAGAAGGAAATCATACTTTCCAAGAATGACTTAAGCAAAGCCATTTGTAACAGTGAGGACAGAAAGCAATGTAACAAAGGCCAGTAATGCTGCTTTCTGATGGTGTGTAGGGACTCAAAGATCTTCTAGAGGAAAAGTTCGAGAAACAGCCCTCCATGAACTTGAGGGTTTCCCATGTAACCTTTATCAAACATCAGCCAGTATGAAGATTAAAGGTCATTTTCCTCACAGGTACTAACTGGATAATCATCCTGAGTTGCTAGATAAAGACAGAGCCATTCACTTTCCCATTTTTGCTAAAGATAAGTATCTTAGTCACTTTCCTTATTGCTGAGACACAATACTTGATACCTGCAATTTCAAGGAGGAGAGATTTAGTTTGGTTTGTGGTTACAGTCATGGTGGTCCAGCTTCAAGGCAGAAACAGCAAAGTGAAAAATAGAGGGATAGAGAGATAGAGGAAGGCTGCTCACATGATAGTGGTCAGGAAGCAGATACGGAGGGGAAGCAGGGAGGGAGAAGAAGCCTTCCATGATGTACTCTCACTGACCCACCTCTTCTGACCAGGTCTTAACTCCCAATAGCATGTTCGGCTGTTGAGCTCCCCGTGGATGAATTACTGACGAATATAGCACCTTGTAATCCAGCCATCTTCCAAAAGCACCACATCTGAAAACAGGAGGCTTTGGCAAGGAATTCCAGATCTACATCATAACAATAGAAAGACTTTCTTTCTTGAATGATTTGAAAACTAGTAGGAAGAAAGCCAGAAATGGCCCTCTCATCACTGTCTCTTTGTGATGAGTTGAGTGAAAATTCTCAATTCCCTTCCTAAAAGGGAAGCCTGCAGATCCTCCTCTTCTTGTTCTGTCTCTGTGTATCTCTTCCTGTTCCTCCCTTCCTCTCCCCTTCCCTCCCTTTTCCTCTTCCCTCTTCCCTGTTTCCACTGATGTTGTTTCCAGCTCCAAGGCTGAGATATACAAGGTAAAAGAAAAGCCAGAAAATTAACCATCATATTTTGCCTGGGACCTCAGGATCCTAACCCATGTCTCCTCTTTTCATCCTTCAGAGTTTTGTTTGTCTACATACAACATGCAGATTTTAGTTCTACCCAGTGGGAAGAATCCAAGAAAGTATATATTCTGTGTCTTTGAAGCTGAGATTTTTCAGACATATTTTAATTTCAGCATTTACTTTGTATTTTTTATTTTATTGCATTATTGAGGAATAGGTTGATCAAAAATCCTCTTAAGGCTCCAGGAGGTAGAGCATAAATCCTCAAAAAGGTTAGAAGGACTCTGTCTTCTTTTTATAGACTTAGTCTCTCCGTATGTTTCCTTCATCCTGTGTATGTTTGTGCAGTTCTTTAATAAGACAAAGTGATTTAATTAAAATATTAATAAAGCACAAAAGATAAGGAACATTCAGCCTGTTTATCTACATGTCCTTTAGTCATTGTCTAGTGGCTTATTGAAGATAAGCC